TTTCTTCTCCCAGCTGGCCTGCTGTGGGGCCCCCTTTGCCTCTGCTTGGAAGAATGGAAACAGCTCCAGGCATTGTCCCTACCCGGCCTGCACCTACAGGGAGCTCTGGATTTCTTCAACACTGCTGAGCTAGGCTCATGTCAACCTCTGCCCCAACTCCTCACTCCCATGCCACCGATGCATTTCCCAGCCTGGCTCTAAAAGGCCCCTCCACTCTATACCTAGCTGCTCTGCAATTCCTGACCTCTCTACAGCCATGCTCCCCACAAGCACTTTCAAATCCCTCACCTGGGGTGCGCCCCTCCCCCTGTGGCATTGGGCACGAATGGCTTTTCCTCTAGCATCTACATGGCATAGGTGCTCTGGCTCTGCCCACAACCCCCTGGCATTCTAGTATTCTCTTCCCATGCAGAATCAGGGAGTCTAGAACCAGGAGATGCCCGAAGGCCATGAACACTCCTCAATGAAACATCACCAAAATAGTGCTATTCTTGGTCCCACACCCAAGATGCCCTGAAAGTGGGGGCCAGATCGGGTGTCACAGGATTATCCCCCAATACCTTGCTTGCCTTCCAGCTCCAACTCTTCTACCTGGATGTCAAAAGACAGGCTTGAATGGTGTCCCACAAAACCTTGCCTTCAAAGGCTATTATCTGGGGTGTCTATGCTGCATTGTATGTGTTTTGTGGAAAGAGAATTTCCCAACTTCAAGTAAAATGTAAAAGGAATCTGTGACTCCCTTCAAATGTTGAAACATACCACATCTGGACACACACACACACACGCACACACACCTCGCCCTATCCTTAGCTTCCCTCAGTGAGAATAGCCAACTGTACTCACTTATAAATAGAAACCCTCTCTGGACAAGTATCTGGAGTGACAGGACAGGTCCAGAGACTGAGTAGCAAGCAGAATTGTTTCCCACTCTGTCTTCTCTGGACCTATAAGGCCATCTACCCCAGCCCTCTTCTCTCTGCTCCCCCAGCCCTACCTGCTGTCACCTTGCTTCTAGAACATGAGCTTAGTACCTGTACCTCCCTGTCATTTAGACCCTAGAAGGGGATGCTTAGGAAACACCAATGTCCCCAAGAACCATCCCCTGGAGGGCTCAAGGTAGCCCAGGACAGAGACCAGGACCACTCCCTTTCAGAGAGGTCTAGGATGGCCCCCAGCCCACCTCTCAAATCTGTCCCTATACCAAACAGAAACCTGACAGCCATCCTTGCTACCTCCTGCCCCCTACTCCCACACACAAGGTCTGGGCCCTGCAGTTCAGCTCTCTCCTCAGTCCCTCCTGCCTAGACCACCACAGTAGCCTTCTTCTTGGCTTCCTGCCTCCTTTCTCTCCTCCCACCTTTCCTTTCTTACTCCACGTGGCTTCCAAAAGACTTCTGATAAAACACAACCTGATCACATCATTGATCTGCTCAACTTTGTGGGAAACCTATCACCTTCAGGATAAAATCAAAACTCCTTCCTATGCCTCTCAGGACCTGCCCTTGGGTTTTGTTGGGTTTTTGGTTTTGTTTGGTTTGGTTTCCATGTCCTGTCTTGTCATTGATCCATTCCAGCCCCTCCCTCCCACCCCCCACAGTGCCCCACTCATCCCGAAGGCCTAGTTTCAGTGTCTGGTGCCTCTGGCCCCACCCCTTCCTGTACCCTTGGCTGGCTCCATTCTACTGGTCCTTCAAACTCAGCCCAGAGTGCATCTCTCTCAACTCCACGTTTAGTGACATATTGGTAGCTTGAAATTGGCTATGGCAAGCGCGTTTTCACCACAGAAATTGGCAAATACTACAAATCAGGGTGTGTTTGGGGTTTATTTTGAGTGTTGGATCTTAAATATGTATCAGCACACCAGTGCTTAGGTCAACTCTGATGCATAGGATACCAGTGTGGGATGGATGGATGGATAGATGGTTGGATGGATGATGGCTAGATTACTCAAGGTCTGGGCTCCGTGTACTTTGCTTTGGCAGCTGTTGCATACATTGATACTCATCCTACATAAGCTCATACACTTCCTGAATTCAGTCATTCCCTGCCCCCTCCTCATGTCCTTTGGGATCCTTGTCCCTCTCACCAGCTCCTCTGGGCATATCAATCCTGCCAGGTCTCCGGAGAGCATGAGATCACCATTGGGATACCATTTGGTCATAGGTGGGTAGAGAGGGCCAGGGGCAGTGGGTGGCATATCATCCAGGCAGGAAAAAATTAATGACAGGCAGTGAGAGAAAACAGGACCTGGGGAAGGATAAAAGGGCTGGGGCTCAGCCTGCAGGGACACCCAGTAGCCCCCTCTGCAGTGACCCCCAATCTGATCAATACCAGAATCGATGGACTCAAATACCTCATTACGAGAACAGCAGGGAAAACAGGAGCCCCTGGCAGCGGCCTTAATTAGCCTGTCCCCCTCCTCCCTTACTGGCTGGCTTAGCTCTCTCTCCTCAAGCCTCCACCTCTCCTGCAGTTGGCTCTATCTCAGCTCAGGTCTCCCCCCTCCCTGTCCTCATTTGCATCTGGGTCTCTCAGTCTCCCCCTGTGTCTCAGGGCCTCCATCTGTCTCTGTCTCCTCCCTGCTCAGTTTCTGTCTCTCCCTCCACATCTCAGGCTCTCTTGTCTCTGGGTGTCTCTCTTCTTTGCCACTTCCCCCCCCCCCGGGTCTCCATCTCACGTTCTGGATCTGTTTCTTTCCTGTCTTTCCAGGTGCCCCCCACCCGCCCCCATCTATATCCCTGTCTCTCAGCCCTCTCCCTCTCAGCTCTCTCCCTGCTCCCTTCCTTGGCACCCCCTCCAACCCGCTCAGGGACCCAGATGGCGGGATGTTCACGCCGCAGTGCCTGCAAGCACGGGGCCATGGTAGCTTCTGGGGCTTCTTGCCACCCCCCCTGCCCTGAGCCTGCTGGGCAGCAGTCAGTCAGCTGCAGCTCAGAACTCCTACTCACCCCCATGGGGCCCTCAGCAAGGAGGTGCTGGGACAAACTCCTCCTAGAGCAGACAGTGCCATCCCTGAGTGAATCCTCGCTGGGACTGAGGGAGCCAGGGCTATGGTCCCCCTTTGCCTCAGGAACTTGAGTGATAAAATCCTAGACGCACCTGGGCCAATGGCTTTTATTTCCTCTCCAAAGGGGTGTCCCTCTTGACATCTCACTGAAAGCCCTCTCGCTGTGGCTTCATCTGCCCTGGGTCTATGTGACTCAGCTTCTTCCCAGTGCGACCAAAGCCTTCACCAGCAGCATCTGGCTAGGCAGAGACTGCTGGGTAGAGCCCCCAAAAGAGAGAAGAAGGGCACTTAGAAGGCACCCTCTTTGCGGAGGCTCATCTGACCACAGCCAGTGTTGAGTGAAGCAAAGGAGGTCATAGCTCAGGCTTGGGGAGCCAGGGTCTTAGAAGTTAAGGGCTGCTACCAGCTGGGTCCTGGGAGGAGAAATTCTGCCCTCATCCTCCCTCTGGTGCCTGGCAGAGTGGAGCACCTCTCCTGGGGAGCTGGCAGAGTCGGCAAGTGCATACATGCCCACACCCCACGCAGCCCAGACACAACACACCCACCTGGGTGCCGTGCGCGCCCACCTGCTGGCACTGCAGCCGGTACCCCCCCCTTGTCTCCATACCTCGCTGCCATAGGGAGGGAACATGGCATTAGCTATCTGGTGCCAGCTATGGAAGTAAGAGGAAGAGGGGCCGGGCGATGCACTGGTGATGAGGGAGAGATACATCTATCTAGACATGGGTGGGGGGGAGTCCCTCAGGAAAAGCACCATTGCCTACCACCTTTCTAGGTCAGAGGTCAGCGGGGGGGGGGTAAAGATCTTCTGAACGCCCTGAAAACAACAGTCTGCTCCAGCCCTAACTTGGATCAAAACCTCACCTCCTACCCTCTCTGCTTCAACCCAGACACTCCTTCTTTCCTGTATGTCTACACCTTTGTGCAAGTCCCACACATCACCAAGCCCCACCTGGACAAGAAGATGAGCCTCCCCTGTAATCCTCTTCTAGTGAGCACACGTGGCTTGGTCCAGGCCTCCATGCCTCATCCCTTAACAAAGGATTCCAAACCGGGAAAGGTGGGGTTCCGGTGGCCAATCCTCTTCCCACTGCCCCAATTTAAGATAACCAGAAGATCATAACAGGCAAGAAGGGCACAGGAGGGCACGCCTGCTGGTCTCTCTCCTTGTGTAGCTCAGCGTGGGGTAGGGAGGGCCAATGGGGTCCCCCAGGCCACACTTTCTGTCTGCACAGATCAGAGAAGGAGAAGCGCCTCCTCCCCTCAGCCCAGATCCTGTAGCTTACAGCCATCGGCCCCACAGAGCAAGCCTGCTCCCTCTTCCACATGACAGCCCTTCAAATATTTGAAGACAGCTCATCCATCCCTGCTGAGCCTCCTCTTCTCCTGACTAAACACCCCGCTTCTTAGAATGACTCCTCAAATACGCTAGTTTCAAGTCATCTCACCATGCCGGGCGCTCTCATCCTTCCAGAGCCGTCCCGGTTCACAGCCACGCTCCAACCTGAAGCCAGGCAGAAGAACTGCCTGTGTCCTAAACCTCAGCATCTCCCCATCGCAGCCTCTGACTTCCTCCACCCTCCACTCCCACCAGCATAGCCATTCTACATTGGCAATCACTTCTACTTTTAGAGCCAGGCAAATGCTAGAGACCCACTACATCTCCCCTATCCATAATGCTTTCTCCAAAGATCCAAATCCTTTCCAGTGACCTCTCTCCATGGCTGGAGTTCATCACCTGTCCACATGAAGCCTGCTTCCTCTGAGAAGCCTTCCCAGATAGAACATGCTTGCCTCCCCCCACCCCCTGCCCCGAGGCAAACCTCCATACTCAAACTACACAGCGCTGATTGTGGTCACTCTATAGAGTCTATGCATCTCCCAGACCTTCATCCCACACATGCACACCAGCAGCCTAGAGAAGAAAAGCCCAGAAGGTGGCAGGGAGGGAGAGGTTCCACCCATGAGAGCCAGCTTGGACCCATGTGCTTACCTGCTCGTGGTACTCGATGCCCATGCTGAGGGTATTGACCAGGATAGCGATCATGATTCCCCGGCCAAAGTATTTGCTATCCACAATCTTTCGGAAAGTGTCACAGATCAGCCTCCAGAAGACCAACACAGGGCTGGGCTCTGTGTCTGGACACAGGCTCCGCCGTCGTCGACTGTGAGGGTCACGGAGGTCACTGTGCTGTGTATCCTGTGTAAACTCGTAAACAGCTTCGCTGTCTGAGTCAGGCAGCTCGTGCTCAGGGGGCTCCAGTTCTCCTGTGCCCACTCGGGTACAATAGGGGCAGCTGTCTGGGCCACAGGCTCCACTATCTGCCTTGGAACAGGGACTGGAGACCTTGCAGGAGCTGTGGCAGGCACCTGTAACAGGAGAATGGGGGATCAGAGGCTCTCTTGACTGGGGCTCCCTTGCCCTTCGTAGTGCTGTGTGTGTTGGGGGAGATGCACAGCATAGTGGGGTAGTTACAAGGTTGGGCTTGCTAGTCAGTGAGCCAGGAATGCTCCTGAATGACGAAGTACCCCAAATGTCAAGAGCCACTGACAGTCATGGCTGAGTGTCTTAAGAGTTCAGGCAGACAGGTGGCCTCCAGGTTCTCTGAGGTCCTGCACAGCCCCTATGTCCTTCTCGAGTCCCTCTAGCCTTGGGCTAGAGGTCTGCCCACCTCTCTTCCCTAGAGAGGGAAGGCCTGGGTCAATATTGCTCTGAGTTGCATTTTGCAATGGATCCTTAAGCCCTCCCATTCCCCCACATGTGCATTTGTCCACTGCTCTCCATGCCAGACATGCATATACACACATGTACACTATATACACACACTCATGTACACACACTATTTGCACACCAGAGGATATACACACACCAAACACATGTTTACCCAAATGTATCAATACTACCCAATGTTGATGTCAGACCCACCCACACGTGTACATGCACACACAGACCAGAGAACACCACAGCCATGAGCATGGGCATCGGACACATGCACTCACACACATACACACACTAGACCCCTTCCTTCATGCACGGAGACACATAAATGCACACCAGACTTACTTGTGCACATACACACACAGTGACCTGTCTGGAGACATCAATATCCGTTTAAATCCTGCTTTGATCACAGACTCTATGAGAGCTGAAAGGAACCTCAGAAGCCACTCAGGTAAAGCATGGATAGGGAGGCACCTGGCTCAGGGCCTGGTAGGCAAGGTGACATTTCCTTCTCCTGACTACATCTGAACATAGTACTGATGGTCCCAACCCCACCTCTTACACGGAAGGATGTAGAGGAATGTGATATGATGGCCATGTCCCATGGCTGGATAATGGAAGAATTACTAAGATCCACTTTGCATTGTGTGATAACACCTTCTGGTGTTATCATCTTCCAGAGACTACCTCACAAATATCCCAGTGTTCTCTACATGACGTATCCTTCCTGAAACACAGGCTCTGGGCTGTGTCTGGGAGGAAAGCCAGCCCTGTCTACGGACCCTCCTACAAGCAATAAGTGTCTCATTCTTCAGTAACATTGGACCAGCAGCTCCAAGCACTTGTCACTCTAGTCTCAGGTCTCTCTGCAAGGGAGGGAATAAGAATCAATTTATGCTGGGTGCCAGTGGCTCACACCTGTAATCCTAGCTACTCAGGAGGCTGAGATCTGAGGATCGTGGTTCAAAGCCAGTCTGGGCAGGAAGGTCCATGGGACTCTTATCTCCAATTGACCACCAGAAAACCAGAAGTGGAGCTGTGGCCCAAAGTGTTAGAGCACTAGCCTTGAACAAAAAAAGGCTCAGGAACAGTACCCAGGCCCTGAGTTCAAGCCCCAGGACCAACAAAAAAGAAATCAATGTATAATAATCTCCTTGGTATGGGGCATCATGTTGCCACAATTACATGCCATTTCCCCTATACAACCAGGAATAGAAAGCAGGCTTCAGAGTCGGATGGCCCTGAGGCCATCCCTCACCGAAAAGGACAACCTTACAAATCAGGTAAGACCTTCAAACCTCCTTTTTCCCCATGTGTACAACAGAGATGCTAGGCAAGCTTATCATCTGAGCTCTCAGAGGGTCCAAAGGGATCTTTCTTACCTATGTTAGGCACACCAGTGAAAACCAGTGGTTAGATATTAGCACAAACAGCAGAGAGCAGAGTGCATAGCAGATACACATTACATGACAGTTATTATTACAATGTAGGACTCACAATTCCCGTTTTAACAGATGAGAAAATTAGAGCTCAAAGAAGTAGTAGGATTGGTTGAAGGTGCCACAGTTACAAAAGGCAGAATGGGGATCTGAACCCTGGTCCCTCTGACTCCAGTCCTCTAGTCCTCTCTGGGATACCACCCAGCCCACCCCTCCCCCACGCCCACCCCTGCAACTGAGGGACACCAACCCATATCCCTGCTTGGTGTTCTTACCTGTACTCTGTGTCTCCAGCAGCTTATGCATGGAGCTGTAGGGCCCAGGTGGGATGTTGAGGCTGGTGAGTATGGGGGGCCCAGAGCTGGGGGCCACTTCAACTAGCGCCTTCTCCTTCAACATCTCTGGTGGAGAGCTGGTGTGCACAGTAGGGTACACTTTCCCACTACCCACAGTCCTGCCAGACGCCTCAGATGGGGACCGGGGAGGGGGCGCCTGGCAACGGACTGGCTCCAAGTGGCAGTCAGCATGATAGAAGCTGTGCACAGACTCGGCACCCCCTGGAGGGCCCCCAGAGAGGGTGGGTGTCGAGGGTGGTGGCAGCATGAGCCGGCGGGACCCACTGGCATCCCTATCTTTGATCTCCGGGCTGGCCCGTGGGGCCCTGAGCGTTCCATTGCCCAGGTGGTAATGGTGATGGTGATGGTGGTGGTGGTGGACCAGGTGGTGGACGGACAGGCGGCGGTGTGAGCGAGAGCAGGTGCCACTGGGCTGGGGCTCCTGGCCCCCGAGGGCTGCTGGGCTACTCAGTAACCCAGCCCGCACGCCTGCAGCCCGAGAGACCTGGGCCAGCCTGCGAGCTGCCTTGCGAAGGATGTACACCAGGTACTTCAGCAACTCCTCATAGCAGCTGCCAGGCTCAGAGAAGCTAGCCAGAGTGCTGGCGTTGGACAGGAATCGCACACGCTGCTCCCGCATTAGCTGGCTCTCCCGTTGCTTGGTCTCTGAGAACTGTGTGGCAATCACCACCAGGCACAGGTTGATCATGAAGAAAGAGCCCACCTGTAGGGGTGGGGACAGGGAGAGGAGATGTCCTGAAGAAAAGCAAATCTCCATGTCAGCTGCGACAGACAGAGAACTTACTGCATGCTAGGCTCTGGGCTAATGTTTTTTCCCATCACTATCTCATTTTATTCACATGACAGTCTTGAGAGAGAACGCTCTTGTAATTGTTGTCCCAACAGTAAGGAAGCTGAGGCTCGGAGAGGGCAAGGAATTTTCCCAAGATCACTAAGCTAATGCAATGCAAGACTAAAACTGGAACCAGGCCCTATAAAACTCTTTAAGGTATGGCCATTGATCATCATGGTATTCTACAAGGTTGCCTTTCAACTCCCTGCACTCATGGAGACCCTAAACACACCTCCCCTGCTCCTATCAGGAGTAGAGAATACTGTGGAAGTGAATGCTCAATTAAGGATATATAGCCTTAATATCGGATTGTGCTTTTGAGACTTGTTTATAAGCCTCCAGTCTGTAGTTCCAACATTGGCTTCATGATAAGACCCTTAACCACTGGACCTCAATATCCTCATCTGAAAGCACAGACCCTACAGGCCAGTCAAATGGCCCATTTTGACTTTCCCATAATCCCCTAGAACCTATCTCCATGCCTCAGTTTCTCCAGGACCTGGGGCTAAAAAAAGAAAATTACTTGGATAACAATCCCCAATGATGGAAATGAATATTTATGGTGACAAAGCAGAATTTTTCTTTTCTAGACGTGTCCTAGTAATTATGATAATTAGCTTCACTAATGTGGTGCCAGAGAGTTGTTTGGGAGGAATTTTCAGGGGGTGTGTGGGAAGGTGGAAATGAGGCCCCTTCCTTCTCTGTCTGTTCCCCCTCCCCAACCAAGCCTGAAGGAGCAATGATTTTGAGAACACATTACCTGCGGCACCCGTCTTGCCCTCTAAGGTGATGGTAAGGGACCGGGACACATCTCACCCAGGCTTTACCTGGGTACCCGTGTGGCCTGGCCAGTCTTACACCAGGGAAAGTTACGGAGCCAGGAGAGAGTGGTTTGGGGACCTGCCGGTCCCCAGAGCCTACCCTCTGTCTCACCCTGCCAACTCTCTGGCATTTGTCCCAGGTCCTGAGTAGATCTTAATCCCTTTCTTAATCTCCTTTTCTCAGATCTGTCCCTCTGCGCCTCTGTCATTGGCCTTGTGGTGACAGGGGAAAAGTGCTAGATTTAGACTTGCTAGCTTTGGTTGCCTTCGCAGCTCCAGCCCTGTTCAATGTGACCTTGGCCCAGTGATCAGCCCTCTCATTTAGGAGCTAGGGGCCACCATTCTGCAGTGGCCACCTCACAGGTGCCTGTCAGGATCCTAGGAGCAGCAGATGTTACAGCACACATCCACAGCGTCTTTCCTACTCAGCAAGACTAATCCACAGCTTAGGCAAAGCACATAGTGAGATCAGATAAATGAGAAAAATGTCAGTTAAATGAAGGTGATCACAAGATCATGATGAGGATTAAATATCCAGCATGTAAGAAGTCCTGAGAGCGAGGGGCTGGCACACAGTAAGTGCTCAGTAAACATCAGCTATAAGTGGTAGCCATGAAATTATTGTCTAGGGATGATGGTGATTTAACTTATTTGCTCTTTTGCCTATTTTCTGCCTTTGTAAAGTCTTGGAATTTCCAGCTGGAAGGAATAAGGGATCATGCAATGTTTCTCAACACTGGAAATCAGGGGTTGTTTGCAAACATTTCAGGATGTGTAGCATCTTTCCCATCCTCACAACAGAATGTGAATGGTGTACCCTTAGACATTGTGAAAAATAGAACCATGCTTGCAACTTCCAAATGACCCTGGAGCCTCAGGGATGGCGGTGAGTGGGAACAGAGCCTGCTGAGTTGGGAACCATCTACATTACTCATGAAGAATCAGGGACCCCGAGCAGAGTGAGAGGCAGGTCTTCGGGGGAACATTTTGCCCAAGGTCCTATTAGCAGTAAGCGGTAGTCAAGGTTTTTGATATTTCATTGTTTTTATATCAGTTGCTGGGCTTGAACTCATAGCCCTGGGTACTGTCCCTGAGTATTGTTTTTTTCATTCAAAGCTAGTACTCTACCACGTTGAGCCACAGCACCAATTCCAGTTTTCTGGGGGTTAATTGGAGATATGGGTCTCATGGACTTTCCTGCCCAGGCTGGCTTTGAGCCACAATCCTCAGATCTCAGCCTCCTGAGTGGCTAGGATTATAGGTGTGAGACATCAGTGTCTAACTAGAGTCATGTGTTGACCTTGGGATTCCTCTTGGCCCTCACCTAAGGTCCTTCTCACGATGTGACAAATGCTTTCTCTAAGGGATTTGTCCTGAGAGCTAAGAATCTCAAATGAAGCAAGCCTTCCCCTATCCTCAGTCACTAGCCATATCCCAGTACCCTCCATCCCCATGGAGGGTGAGGAGGAGGAGTCACTCACGATGATGAGGAGGATGAAGTAGATGAAGTTGTAGAAGGAGTGAGCATCCATCACAAAGTACATGATGTCGACCCAGCCCTCCAGCGTGATGACCTGGGGAGGTGGAGAAGAACAGGCTGACACTGAGCTCATCAAAGCCTCTTCCAGTTTCCTCCAGGGCCCTGACCACTCCCACCCTACCCCAAACACGAGCATGACCACTCTCAGGGGGGGGGGCGCTAGGCCCAAGCTGCCCCACCTGGAAGATAGCGATCCAGGCATAGCCGATGTTGTCGAAATTGATGGCGCCCTTGAAAGGGTTGTGCTCGCCTGCAGAGCAGTTGGTGTAGTACTGGTTCCAGTTGACACAGGTGGTATTGCTGGAGCTGTTGTAAGCGTTGTAGTCTAAACCACAGGGCGGGCCGCCGCCACCCTCCCCTCGCAGCGTGGGCACACTCCTGCAGGACCGCATGCCGTTCTCCCGTGGCTGGGAGCAGATGAAGGGGCTCTCGTCCTCGTTCTCTGTCTGGTAATAGCGCTCCAGGTCCACGCTCAGGGGTCTGAAGGATGAGATGGTATGGGTACACTGAGGACTATAGGGAGGCAGGTCAGACCTGAGGGTGGGAAAGAAGCCTGGGCCGGGCAAGGTGTGTGGATATGAATGGGGGTCACTGAGAACAGGAGGACCAAGTTAGAGTCACATTCTAGAGCAATGGTTTCAAACTTTGCTGTCCTTTAGAGTTGTTTATTTCCCTGTAACCAAGCTATACCCAAAAACTTAATGTAATCAGAACTACTGGAGGGAGTGACCTTCTAAGCATCAGCAACTTTAAAATCTCTCCAGGTAATTCCAATAGGTAGCCAAGTTCAAGGACCAGATACGTCTCAGATACAAGCACAGGTATGTCCGTGGCAACAGGAAGCTAAGGATTAGGGGAGATCTCAGCCCCGCAGGCCACCCCCAGGTCACCCGCTCTCCACTCACAGGCTGAAATTCTCAGGGAGGAAGCATCGGTTCCGAAGCAGCCCTGCCCACAGCTGGACACCAACGATGCCAAAGATGAAGAAGACGAAGAAGCAGAGTAGCAGGACATTGCCCAGCATGGGTAGTGTGTCTAGCAGCAAGGTGACCAAGATACGCATGCCTGTTGGGGCAGAAGACACACTGGGGACACGGGGCTGGCCAGGCTAAACTGGCTTCCATGCATCTGGCTGTATCCCCAGAGGGGTCCCACTGGGAACCTCCAGGCTCAAGCTGGAGGGGAGACAAATGGGGATCTCTAACACACATGCTTAGACAGCTCCAGGAGCCCCAGCACCTTTGACCCACACATAGTAATCTGTTCATGGTAACACCGATGAGTCAGAACTGAGGTTCCAACACATTCTCATGCTCCTCACTCTCTCAGCATCACCGTGGGGTGATGATATCACCCCCAGTTTACAGATGAGAATTCTGAGGCCCACAGGAGTGATGTGGCTTGCTCAGTATCAGAGATACTAAATGTAGGCGCTGGGACTTAAATTTAGGCTTTGTACTTCCAAATCTTGTGCGTGCACACACACCTCCCACTTCCTTCTCTCACCAGACACAGTCACCTGAACTTTCTAAGCCATCACCACTGGGGTCATTGGGGAAACTGAGGCAGAGGACTCCAGTAGGGATATCAGCAAGGCAGAATTTCATATTGCGAGTCAGTTGCTCATCAGAGGCCAAAAATGCCCTCTACTTCATCAACTTTCTGAGCCCCTCAGCCCTGAAGTCAGGACGTATGAGACACGCCACACTTTCCTCTCAGGAGTCCATCCTAGCGCTAATAACCCTCTGCAGGGGCACAACTACTTCAACCCCTCTCCTGAAAATCCCTGTTAGGGATCCAGCCCCTGTCCCCACTCCAGGTCTAGGACCCAGCAGCCCAAATGGTGTGAACCAGCCACCAATCTTTTGTCAATGCCTTAGAAGGTAGATAGATCTCCAGTGGCTAGTTTTGAACCCCAAAGTGCTCCTTAGGGTCTCTGCCTTCTCCAGGACAGAGCTTTTAAGCAGCAGCAACAGCAGCTAATTAACTTTCTTGGTGGGGACCGCAGCCATGCTGCCTCCACCCCTCCTTTCACTCAGCCCTTCTCCCCCACTGCTCCTCCCATCCCCCTTCAGCTGCTCTGGGCTCCAACTGAGATCAATTCCTCAGGGTTTGCATTAAGGGAATTACACCATTGGTTAGACAGAGGTCTATCAATCTGCCAGCCCGTCACCTGGGAGGGAGAGGAGGCCAGGCATGCCCCTGTTCTGGAGCTCTGGTTAATACCAACTCACTTCAGCCCCCTTCCCATAGCAAACACACTGCTGCATCTCTCTCTCTCTCTCTCTCTCTCACACACACACACACACACACACACACACAAAGGGGGCTGCTACTGCATCAGGCACAGAGCCCCACACATGCTCCTCCAAGCCCCACTCCCCAGACTGCATCTGGGACCATCTTCAGAGTGTGTAGGTAGGTTGGGAGTTGCAAAGGGGGGCTGAGCAGGGGGGCAGGGCAGGACTTCAGGAGAACTAGAGCTGCCAAACCTTCCCTGGCTCCAGAAACCAATGCGGTTTAATTTAGATAATGGTCCCGGCAGTCACTGCAACGCAAGTTGGAAGTGGGGGAGGGGGAAGGGGCCGCAGCCACAGCGGGAGAGTGAGGCGTGGCGTGGCCTTCTCTGGAGAAAAGTCCTATTTAGTGTGGCCAGTGTGGTCTCACACAGGAGAACCAGTCTATGGAAGAGACTGTTGTGCCCAGAAAAGACCATTAACACTTTAGGTCCCCTCCCCTCCCCCATCCCATACACCCTATTCTCCTGGGTGTAAAATCTCTGAGATGTTTCTGAGATTCTGACCCAAAGCCAGATTGAAATGAGGAGGGTCTTCATGGTGACTACCCCGGTGCCACAGCCAAGGTGAGGGACTCCCTTTGGGTCCCTTCTGGGCTATTCTCTGCAGTGGCCCTGAGTGGTCAGATAATGACATGGTAGGTGGGGCAGGGGGAGCTGACGTTGCTACATTTCTTCTTAGGATTCTGTGTCTAAGGGCTGAGGGCCAAGGGGTCACTCACTGGGCACGCGGTTAATGGCCCGGAGTGGTCGCAGCACACGGACTGTCCTGACAGCTGAGAAGCTGACATTCTGCAGGTCCAGTGAATACTCCAGCATCCTGTGAGGAGGGGTTGAATTTGAAGTCAGCATGATGTTTAAAGAGAGAGAGAGAGAGAGAGAGCACCAATGAAGAATTCTGTGAAGAAGCAGGACAATCTGGTGCTCCTCCCTCTCTCCCGACTAAGGAACCCTGAGATCAGCTTTCCTCAAAGGAGCAAGGATAGCTCCCTCTCCCTCCCCCACTCCTCAAAGAGAAGAACCAGGAAGACCACAGGACTCAGGAGATAGGCCAGAACACGGCAGGCAGGCAGCCTCACTCGCTTGGCTCACGTGGACAGCCAGGGAAGAAATACAGAAATACAGCTATGACTGGGTTGGGGTGGCGCCAGGGCCCTGGAGAAAGTAGTGATCCAATCCCCTGCTTCCCACCATCCCCCCCCCTCCGGTCCAGGCCCTCACCCTGCAATGACAATGAAAAAGTCAAGCCGGTTCCAAGTGTCTCCCAGGTAACATTTCTTCCCGAAGATACCCAAGGCCACCATCTTCACCACCATTTCCACAGCGAAGAAGGCAAAGATGAAGTCATCAAAGGCCTAATGGAGGGACAAGAGTCTGCAGAAACTCAGAAGGGCAAGAGGACACACACACTCCTAACCACTTCTACCAGTTGAGTCAGGGCTTTTTGCAGAACAGATGTTGGGGGTTAAGATCAGGAACTATAGCTGGATGCTAGTGACTCACACTTGTAATCCTAGCTACTCAAGAGGCTGAGATCTGAGGATCAGGGTTCAAAGCCAGCCTGGGCAGAAAAGTTCATGAGCCTCTGATCTCCAATTTACCACCAGAAAACAGGATGTGGAATTGGGGCTCAAAATGGTTAAATGCTACCCTTCAGCAAATAGAGCTCAGGGACAGTGCCCAGGTCTTGAGTTCAAACCCCATGACTGACAAAATGAATCATTTTTTTTTAAAGATCAGGAACTAGTTAGAAGGCAGGGATTGAGAAGTTCTCCACTTGTGGCCAGTCTTGGGGAAAAAATTAGCGAGACCTCAATCTCAACAAAGCCAGGCAGGGTGGCACAGACATGGGCATGAAGTCCCATCTATGCAGGAGGCACAGGTTAGGAAGGAACGTTACAAGGCCAACCTGAGACTCTTATCTGAAAAATAACCTAGAGCAAGAAAAAAAAAAAAGCTGGAGGTATGACTTGAATAGAAAAGCTCTTGCAAAAGAGCTGGGTGCTGATGGCTTATCTCTAGAATCCTAGCTACTCAAGAGGCTGAGATCTGAGGGCTGCAATTTGAAACCTGAGATTTTATCTCCAGTTAACTACCAGAAAGCCAGGAGTGGGGTGGTGGCTCAAATGGTAGAGTGTCAGCCTTGAGCAAAAAGGTCAAAGTCATTATCCAGGCTCTGAGTTCAAGCCCTAAGACTGGCACAAACACACACACACACACACACACACACACAAGAATCAGGAGTTCCACTTCCCCATAATACATATATTGCCACTCACCTGCAGAATTCGGCACCTCTGGGAGTCACAGGCGATGTCCTCACATGGCCGGAACATGCCCAGGGTCACACAGTTGAGAAGAATGACCAACATGCTGATGCGCTCAAACCAAGTATCAAGACGTCAAGGAAACAGCTGGCCAGGACTAGAAATGAAAGTGTCCTCCAATACCCTGCCCCGATGACACCTGCTACGTGTCAACCTCCCAGGTTTGAGGGGAGGACCCTGGCTCACCTTGACCATCTCACTTCTAGGGACCTAACCTTGTCATCTGTAGCCAAGGTAGAAAAAAAGCCATAAATAATGTGGCTATTTACACAAGCCATTTGGGGAATGGAATTGATCATGCTGGTGGAAATGCCAGACACCATGAGTCTGCTGCCGAATCGCCTCCTCTTCTCTCCAGCTCGCAGGGTAGATGTGAGAAGCAAGTGAGACAATGTATGTGAATGTGTTACACAAACCTACAGTCGGATTATGCCTGCCTTACAGTTTACCACGCACTTTCACACACTTCTGACGCTCATGACAGCTCCACGAAACATCCAGGGTAGATTCTTTTGATTGGAAACTGAGGACCAGACAGCCAAAGTCATGTGCTGAAGCCATCCAATACAGAACAAGACTGAGGTCCCCACACTCTTGATCTACACAGCCATTCTCTCCATGCCATAGCTGCTTAGACAGGCAGGAAGGGGGCTGTCATCACTCTCCTGATACCAGGCCCACAGAAGGGCCCACAGCTGCATGCCCCTTGCTACAACACTGGAGCCTGAGGCTTTCTCTCCAACTCCAAGCCCTCTCACCTCTCAGCCTCTAGACACATTCCAATATGGAGACCTCTACCCCCAATTCTCATCAGGCACCATACCAGGCCCAGCCTACACAGTGGAAGACGCCTGATGCACAGCCATGTGGCTACCACATCGTCTTATGCCTTCCAGCCCAGACTCAAGCAACTAGGGCAAAAGGAGTTCTTTCTAACTTCTGAGACTTTCTGCATGGTGAGTTCAAGAGAATGTGTAAGCTGGTCCTGGACCTTAGAAGGTTCCAGGCCCTGGACTCAAGGAGTAGTTTTCTCATGGCAAATAGGAGGGCAGAAAGAGCAAAATGCCTAGGAGAAGAGCGGAGGATCAGGGCAGCCCACTACCTCCACCACCAAGTAGATGTAAAAGAGCATGGGGACTCTTCAGGAATGAGGTGGCTTTTGCCAGGCAAGAAGGAACCAGCAGAGACATTCTAGGGCTCTAAAGGATCTGATTCCCAATTGGTCCTAGACATACCCCATCTTTGTCCTGAATCCCAGACCATTCCTCCTCTCCAGAGGCTGGCGACTGACTCCCTCATCCACCTCAAAGCTTTCCTGCCCCCCCACACGTCACCTGGGCTTTTTACTCTCAGATACACAACCCTGTCACCATCTGTCTCTGCCACCCAGGAGACCCAAGACAGTCATTTCCCTAACCTCCATTCCCTTACAAAAATGAGTAACACACACACACACACACACACACACACACACACACACTTTAGGGTTGGGGGTAAGTGGATGAGAGGGAAAATAAAGAGTGCTGTTTCCATGGAGCTGTTCCCGAGTGGAGCCAGAGCCCAGTGCATCTCTCTCCAGAATGGGGGGTCAGCCAGGGGTCACTCCAGAAAGAGGGGGACAGGGAGGGAGCCATCCATTGGAAAGGAAGTGACACAATTACCCTCAAGAATTTGTTTGATAGCCCTTTCCTCACCTCTGTAGGAGGAGAAGTCTTGGAGATGCACCAATTCTTCTATGTGGGGGGCTCCCAGGACATCTGTCTGTTCACCTCTAAAGACAATGATTCTACCATGTTAAATCATCCATGCACTTGTCTCCCTTGTGGACTTCTGCCTACATCTTTATATCTGCCTTCCCCAAACCCTTACTACCTCTGAGCTTAGTGTAGCACATGGCACAGATAGAAGACCAATGCATGGGGAGAATGAATAAATGAATGAATCGATGAATCAAAGACTTTGCCTATCTAGAAACCAGATATGTCCCCCATTCATGCAGCCCTGTCCTGTGTCCCTTAAGACTGATGAATTGATGATAACTATGGGGAGAAGGGCAGAGTTGACCCCACAGAATTGCCACCCCCTCCTTCTGTCCCTGCCTTACACAGGCTCAGATTGGAGCCTCTTTCAGCCAAAATCAGCTTCTAAAGAATTCCACATCCAGCTTAATCACAGAAGCCCCTTTTCAACAACCCTTGGCAATATGGTCTGTTCCCACGTACATCCTGCCTGCTCTCTGCTCCCTCCTTCACTGTAGGTGAGCATAGATGGACAGGGAAGAGCTCCAGGCACAAACTTGGTACAATCTGAATAGAATAACTAATGGGGGGGTCTTTTACCCTTCTCAGGGTGGAGCTCGTTTCCTTGGGAACATGGCAGTATGTCACTGTGTGATGTTCTTCAGTTGCCATAACAACAGGAGGATGTGTCACCAGGTGGTGTGGATTTGTTGCCATGGTAATTAAAGAGACCCCCCCCACACACACACACATGCTCTCTCCGTACCCTGGCTGCTATCTTGTCCTCATGCAAGAAAGGGGAACCAGGGAGACCCACAGGTTATCAGGAGGGGGGAACCATGTGACAGATCCCCATGGTAACTGAGAGAACGGGGGACACTGGTTGCCATAGTGACTATGAGAGACCTGTGCAGTCACATGTCTACTGTTGCTATGGTGACTGTCCTGGTCTGGAGTGGATCCCAAAGGGTGGGGGCAGGAGAGGAGAGGATCTTTCTTCTCCCCACAACCCATCATCAAAACCAGAGAGAAAGAGAATGGCAGGAGAGGAACCCCACTTCCATCCCTCCTCCTCCTCTCCCTCCTGGAAGAGAAAAGTAGAGCATGTTATCTTTACAAATGAATCTCCTCCATGGGATTCTATCTAGATAGAGCCCTGTCTAGCCAGGAAGCTATGAGTGTAGGAGGCAGGCTGGGTACCTCCAAGGCCACGGGGCTCCGGGCATGAACTGAGAAGGCAAGCAGGCCCTCAGCTGCCTCATTCCCTCCAGCAGTCAGGGAAATCTGAGACTAAGGAACATTGGGGAGGAAATGGGCGGGGACCCAGGAATCCTGTCCTTCTAGTAAGAATTGGGGGGGAGCGGTCCTTTCATCACTCATCCCACAGAGAGACTGGTATCTACCAAAGCCGCCACCCCTAGGGTGGAGGTGGATACAAGGGCTCAGCCTAGTGGCTTGCGCAGGGAGGTGGAAAGGGGGATTCCCCTAGCCAAGCCCCCCCTCCTGAGAGCCTGCTTTCCTGTGTACCCCCAGCTCTAGTGTGTGGGTGTGTGGGGAGAGGTTTCCAGCTGAACCGAAAACTAAAGCAGAAAGGCAGCCGGCCCCACCCAGAGACAGACATGAGACAGAGACAGACAGACAGACAGAGACAGAGACACAAGAGAGACGGCCGCTGGAATCTTTGGGAGGGAAAATAGGCCAGAAATCTGATTCAAATTCTGTGACTTTGCATGTGTGTGTGCACACGCGTGTGTGTGCGTGAGTGTGTATGCATGTCTGCGTATGTGAGCAGTGTGTGTGTTGCCATTCTGGCTGAGGGAGGCAGGGTGGGGTGAGAGCTAGGGTAGAAGCAGGCGGGGAGGGGGGGAAAGGGCTGGTGGAGGGGTAATCCCAGGAATGACTCCAATTGGCACTAGGGGTGATGGGGAGTCCCCCAGTAATGCGGTGAAGCAGAGTAGGCGGGAGGGAAAGTGTGTGTGTGTGTGTGTCCCAGAAAGAAGGAGGCCTGGAATGGAGGGAGTGCCAAGATGTACTCTGCCACCCTATCCTGCTCGTCTCTGGGGTCCAGTCCTCCTCCCCAGAATTCTCTCTGGGAAGCCTCAGGTTTGGAAATGGGAGTAAAGAATTGGTGAGGAGACACACATAAGCCCCCCTCCCACCCTACTTCCTCTAAGAATCCAATGGTGACTTCTAGGTAGGTGAGAAGAGTGGGCAGACTTGGAGCACACACTGGGACAATGGCTAGGAAGACTCCAGAAATTCCTGGGGCCCCCTCCCTTCTAGAGGCACACACTCAGACACACACAGTGACGCACAGTCACACACTCACATTCACTTCTGGAAGCCATTAGGGTTCCTGCCTTTTAGGCCTCCCCCTTCTCCTCCCCCGACTCCTGGCAGGCTCCCCTTTCCCCCACTGGCCCCCCTTCCACTCCCCCTTCTCTCTCAGCATCCCAAATGCCAGCCTGTGATTTCCAAATGAGAAAAAGCTGTGCTGGGCTCTGAGCTTGGAGAAACTCCTACACAAACTTCCAGATGTGACACAACAGCGGGAGAGGGAATGCTCAGGATCTCCTTCCCGGGAGGGGAAACACACGCCCTCACACTTGAAGAAACACACACTGGAAAGGCCAACACTCCCCTCTAACCTGAGGGGGGGACCCACCCAGCTCTGAGCTGTCTGAGCCAGTACCCCTGCTTTCCCCTAATACTAAAACACACACTTCTATGCCTCTCTTCCTTTTGCTGCCTCTTTACCCTCTCCAACACACACTCTCCTCTCTCTCTCTCTCTCCTTCTCTCTCTCTCTCATCTCTCTTTTCTTTCTACCAGCATCTAGATCTCCTCTCTAGGAAACCTGTTTTTTTTAAGGAGGCTATGAGGAAAGGGTCAAAAAGAAGTGCCAAGAAAAGGCAAACTAGATTCAGTTTGAGGGAGTAGGGAGTGTCCTTATGTCCCTTAGGCTCCAAGATGCAGAGGAACCTCTAGGAGTCAAGGGAAGCTTCACCAACATCAAGAAGAGAGAAAGAGAAAGGCCAAGAGGCAGTTCAGAGCCCTCAGGCCGTAAAAACAGTTCCCCTTGTCACTGGGGTAGGATGGGAGCAATGAGGTACACAGCTTACCTCAGACCACCCAGGCCCAGATGCTAGTCCAGAGCCAGTACTATGGGTGCCCCATACCCTAGACTACCGACTACCACTCCCCAGAGTAAACCAGCTTCCACCTTGCTTCTCTCATTCCAACCCTGGCCACTTGCCCCATTCCTAGAGACATCTGGCTCCAGGCTCCCCACTACACCTGGAGATAGGGCAGGTGACAAGATGAAAGCCAAAAAGGAGGCTGAGGGAAAGGAGATAGGAACTGGTTGGTGGGTTTTCCCATTCAGTGGCAATGGGAGGGGCCTGGCTGTTTAAGGGACAGAGAGAAGGGTTATCCAGAGCTCATCCCATAGAGACTGGGATGGGGGGGTGGGAGATTCACAGTTCAAGACTTGCCAATTCCACAAGCCCAGAGACCTCAGACTCTCACCTCTCTACAGTTCAGAAAGGAAGAAGGGGCTGGGAGTGGGGAAGAGAGGATGATGCAGGGAGAGGGTATGATGAGGGGAGCTTCCTAAAGACCCACAGTGTAAACAGAGCACAGGGGGTGAAGGGGGCCCAAGCTTATATCCTGCTTTGCGCACTAGAGGCAGCAGAGCTGCAGAGAGGGCGGCACCAAGTCCCCCCCCTTCCCCAAAGCAGAGTCCTGTTTGGGCTTTCAGGGGGCTGCAAGGGAGACTCCCCCACTCCCCCTAACACACACACACACACACACACACACACACACACACACTCACACTTGCAGTGAATCTGAGAGAATCTCTGAGCTTTCAGGAAGGAACTGGGAGAAGCTGTCATGACCTGGATGGCAAGACAACCAGCCCCCACCTTTCCGGGTAGCTGGTTCCAGCGCTTCGTCAAGCAGGCTTTTTGTTCCCAAGAGGACTGGGGTCTCCCTGACCACTCCAGACTAGGTAAAGGCAAAAGAACCAGACTAATTCTATCTACCTGGAATGTGGGGCATGTGTCCCCCAAACCTGTGCCCAGAGTAGGCACAGGGGTGTCAGATCTGAGTCTTCCTCAGAACACATGCTGGCTGTCTCACGATTCCCCCACCCCAATACTTTTCCAGGGCTGCGGTCTCCCATACCTGCTCTGCCATCAGCCAAAGCACTCTCATTTGTGAAAGGAGGGGGGGGGTAACTTGGACCTGCTTCATCCCATCCCCCCACTTGCCAAAGCGCTGGCCACAGTCTTTTCCCTCCACAAGGGGAAAAGAAAAAAGAAAGAAATCCAACACAAAAGTCCCCAGCCCAATCTTAAACACTAGGCATCAGATAAAGAATCGGGGGTGGTGGGAGACACTGGTGATTGGGTTCCACTGAAAGGGGCTCCAGTCCAGCTCTGGGGGCAGACGGCTCCCCTCCACCACATCTTGTTCTCATTCTGCACCCCTGACATCAGCCGCCGCCGAGAAATCTCCTTGTTGTGCCTCCAACCCGCGGGCTGGGGGGGGGGGGACAGCTTGAGGGAATAAGACCTGGCCCCTGCCCCCCCTCCCCATCTCCCTCTGGGTCAGTTAAAAAAAAAAACAACAACCTCAGCTTTGAGGACCAGGTTAGGGGGATGGACCCTAGAATCCGCCGCAAACTTTGGGGCGGGGGCAGGAGGAAAACCCAGGAGATTGCGGTCTCCCCTCCTCCGTCCCCGCAGCTTCCTCCCCACCCCTGCCCCCAAAACTCGGAAACCAAACCCAGCTCGCTAACCAGCGTCGGGGCGGCCAGGCGGGCTGCCGGACAGAGTAGAATGCCCAAGCTCCCGAAGCTTCCCACATCTGGAGGATGACGACCCTCCTCTAGCCACATCTGGAAAGCATCCAACTGCCAGCCAGTGGGTCACGTCTCTTTAAAAAAAAATCCGATCTGTGTTTCCCCACCTCCCCACCCCCCCATCCCACCCCCAGGATTAAGGTGTGTGTGCGGGGACAGAGCTTCCCGGGGTACCCAGCAGACCTGCTCACCTCTCCTTCCACTCTGAAGCCCCCTCCCCTGCTAAGCATACACCCCCCCACACACACACCCCGTCTCAACTGTCCGTCCTCTAAGCTCACTTCGACTCACCTGGCTTTTTGGTCCCCTCTGGAAACGTGGCCCGCTCCCCCCTCCACGCGTCCCCCCCTGCAGACCCCGAAAAGCCCGGCCGGCCGGTCGTGCCCTCGAAGGATATGGGTTACAGACCGTGCGGAGACACCAGCTCCGCGGGCGGCTGTCCTGGCTCAAGTAGAAGAAAACCACCGGGGCCAGCGCCGGGTACGGCAGCCCCTCCGCCTCGGAGTCCGCGCTGCCCGGGTCCTTTTCCGCCGACCCCGGCTCCGGCCGGCCCCCGGCCCCAGACAGGTCGTTAAGCTGCATGAAGCTCCGGGGCTGTCCCGACTCCTCGGTGCCCGCTCCATCCTCCTCCTCGTCCATTCTCTGGCCAGCCGGGGCCCCGGGGTTCCGGAGAGGGGCGAGCGGCCCCCCTCAGAGGAGGTGTCCTCACGCAACCGGGGGACCCCGGCGGGGGCACATCTGGGGGGCTCTAGGGCTCAGGCTGAGCCCCCGGGAGGGCCAGTTCAGCCCAGCTCCCCCTGCCCGCAGGGGCATGCTGCCCGCGGGGCGCCGGATCGTAGGGAAGCCCCGCCTGGCGCGAGTCCCGCTGCTTCCCCTGGGCCCCCGGGGTCCCCCGGGCCAGCCGGCTGGCTCCCCCTCACTTTGTTCCGGCTTCTTCGCTTCGCGCCCTGCCTCCGGCTGCTGCCGGAATCCGCGCTACCTTCGGCGAAGCGTCCCCCAGAAAGGGGAGAGACAAGGGGGAGGCACCCGGTGGAGGACAGGGGTCCGGGGAGGGGCGCCCCCTCTTCCCGCGGCGCAGCTGGAGCAGGATCTAAGGGGTCAGCATCGTCCCGGCTCCGCGCCAGCGGCGGCGGGGGGGAGGGGAGGAGGGATCTTTGGGGGCAGGTTTGGAGGGGGTGGGGGGCGGCTCCTTCCTCCGCCCCGCGGCGGGCTCACGGTCCGGGAGGGGCGGGGAGACCTTGGGGGGCCGTCCCAGGCGGGGGTGGGGGCGGAGATGCCGCCGCTGCCGCCGCCGCCGCCGCCGCGGTGGCTGCCGTTGCCGTAGCTGTCGCCGGCGCCACTGCCTCCTCCTCAGGCTGAGACGCGGAGCGAGCGAGCGAAAGCGGCGGCTGGGAGCCCGGCGCACACCACAGCTGGATCCCTCACTCCAACTTCAAGCCTCGGCCCCGCCTCTCCCCAGCCAACCCGGCAGCCAATCGCCGCGCGCCGCCGGCCCTGAGCCGCACGCCCATTGGCCGGCCGCCGTGGCAGTGCGGGCGGGGACGCGGAGGGAGAGAACCACAGCTGGAATCCGGTTCCCACCCCAAATCTCAGGACCGCCTCTCTCCCCTCCTCTTGCCCCTGGGTCCGCTCCTGAAGGCTGGATCCAATCAGACATCAACCCAGGCCGAACCCACTTTTCTATTGGCCACTGGGGTCTTTGGGACTCCCCTGGAGGGAGCCTCGGGGAATCAAAGCGTATTTGGCGCCAGGTCCTAGGGTAATGCAGCAAGCTCCGGGCATCCTTTGTCCAGGACCCTCCGAACTGGACTCCAGCCAGAGGGCGGAGCTCGGCTCTGGACGGGGGTTGGAGAAGAAGGAAGGCGGGAGGCACCGGAACGAGGGGTGCCACCAGGGTTCCAAAGCGAAATCCGGCTGGGTATTTGGTCAATCGCAAACCTTATACATGAATCTGGGAACCTGTCCCGGGGAAACCGGAGAAGCAGAGCTGGAGGGTCCCGAGGGTGGGGCCTCGGGCAGGAGGGGGCGGATCGTGGGGAGGGGGGGAGACAGAGGTGGGTGTGGTCTCTACGTGGCCTTCACTCCCGGACCCCTCTCCCAGAGCTGGCTGGGGGTGCTCTGAGGCCCCCTTCCGATACTTTGACCCTGACCTCCTAACCGTAACCCACAGACCCAGACCTCACTCTGAAGCGCAGAGCTTCACCCTCGGTTCCTAAGGATCCTTTGAAGGGTGCGGCTTTCATTCAGGGGCTTGGAGCTTGAACTCACAGGCAGGTAACAGCTGAGCCTCAAAACGAGAACCCCACCCCCACCCCAGCGAAAAGACCTTTGGGCCTCGAATGTGTAGGAGAGGATGAACACATCAGGCTTTACCAGTGTCTCCTGCAAAGCCCGCCCCAACCCCTAACTCCGTGCCTCAGTTTCTCCATCTGGCAGCAGTCCCAGTACGATGTGAGGGAAGTCTAACTTGACAGACAGGAGCTTCGATGGACTGCTCTCCTCACCTCCGCTCTGCTCAGAGTGGGTGCTCGCGGTTCTAGGCTTTCCGCGCGCGCGCGCGCGCGCGCACACACACACACACACACACACACACACACACACACACGCAGATCCCGGACTTCGCCCCGCCTCTCCTCCGCGGCAGTACTAAGTCTCAGCTTTAGCTCCCTGCCTCCCGGGGCGGGGTGGGGGGTAGGAAGGGGGGGTATTCAAGAACGCAGAGCCCCAGTAGTACTGGACGCGTGGAGGAGGGGGAGGGATTCGACTTCCCCAACCTCTGCGTGGGCATCCACGGCGAATCCGCCTGGGGCCGTCCTTCTCCCCGGAGATGGGGGGGGGGCGGCGGCAGCGGCTCATGCCTCTGCGGAGATGCTGAGGGGTGGACCGGATGGCCTCCAGCATCCACTGATTCTCGAGCGGGCGTTCTGTGTGCTCGCAAAGCTGTGCCACCCACGCAGCCCCCGCAGGCTTCCGGCCAGAGCGTGGGTGTGCGTATGGGGTCGTCTTAGCTCCCTCTAGGGCCTGTTGCGGGGTTGGGGGAGGGTGCGCGAGGGGGGGGGAGGAGGGCAGAGCGGCTGCAGCGCCCAAGCCTCCCTGTTTGCCCTTTTGCCAAATCCGGGCACTGAGTTGTGCAAATGAGGCCGTACTTATTTGCATTTCATGCTAATGAGCACATCCCTTAAGTGCCTGTTTCTCCTGGCGGGAGTCTGTGCTCTCATTCTGACTGTGCCTGTGTGGCGCCTGTCTTGAACTCAGGGCCCTTCCGGGAGAGAGGGGCTATTTATGGTTGCCTTGGTCTGACACCTCCTTCCCTCCCTGCATCTCCGCAGTCTGGTGGTTTGGCTTGCCCTTCTGGTCAGGATCAACAAGCCCCAGGGCTGGCACGGAGAGGTGAGGATTCTCCTCTCCTAGACTTTGCAGAGTGGGAAATGAGGCCAGAGACTTGCTAGTCTAATAGCCAGCTTCTCTGGTGCCCCACATCTTCCTGTATTACTCAGGCCATTCCCCCGGTTCATGGGCTTCCCTGTTACAGAATATATCCAGAAAAGGGGCATGCAACACCTAGATAAATGAAGATATACCTCCCTAGGTTTGTGGCCTAGGCTAAAACTTGCCCCTTGAAACTTGTCACTGTAGTCTGGCACCAGAGGACTTTGATATCTGAGCAGAGATGCCCACCATTTCCTGAGTGAGGTAGGGAAGAAAGCAAGCAAAGGAAGGCCAGAAGCCATCTTTAACTCCAGCCCTCTATAGCTTAGCTCTGACATCACCTCCTCAGACTGGCTTTCTTTCCAGTATGACTTTTAGTGCCTATTAAGGGGGCGAGGGGGGGCGGTGATGCTGAGGGTATGGTATGAACCAGACAAAAGTATGAATAGTACCTAGTAATACAGTATTCATACTCATAGTACTAGCCTGGGCTGGGATGCTAGGCTTATGTCTGTAGTAATGAGATCATTGCCTCAGCCTCTAGGCTGTGTTCCCCAGACCAGGGCCTACCATAGTGTTTGGCATCTAGGAGAGGAACGAGAAGTTCCTTTCTTTGGGCCTCAGTTTTCCAACTAACTTAAGCTGATATGTTTTCTAAGCTCTCTTCTGAGTTTGAAGGAGAACCTCCACAAGTGCGCCATGCTCAGCTAGCCTCTTCAACCCTCCTGCAGCCCTCTGGCTCCCTGGAGAGCTGAAAGAACAGCCATCTGTGATGTGCTTTGTTCATTATCTCCTTTGGTTTCTCAGCAGCCCCGATTGCTGGTGGTTCATGCCTGTAATCCTAGCTACTCAGGAGGCTGAAATCTGAGGATTGAGGTTCAAAGACAGCCTGGGGCTGTCTTCCAATTAACCAGCAAAAGCCAGAAGTAGAGCTATGGCTCAAGTGATAGTGCAGTAGCTTTGAGTGAAAAAGCTAAGGACAGTGCTTAGGCCCTGAGTTAGTATAGCCCCAGTATAAGCATGCACACACACACACACACACACACACACACACACACAGCTGAGTGGGTGGTTCCTCATTTCTCAGAAGTTGAAGTTCAGAGAGATTAAATGACGTAAGTGACTACCCAAACCAAAAGGTCACGTTGTCCCAGGACCCTGACCCACAAATGCCTTAGGACAGTCCTACTGGTAAGAGAAAACACACCAGGCCAAGGAGAAGGGGTGACATGGAACTTTCTTTTTTTTTGGTCGGTCGTGGGTCTTGAACTCTGGGCCTGGGCCCTGTCCCTCACTTCTTCAGCTCAAGGCGAGTGCTCTACCACTTGAGCCACGGCACCACTTCATCTCCTGGTGGTATATTGAAGATAAGAGTTTCACCAATATTCCTGCCTGGGCTGCCTTTGAACTGTGATCCTCAGATCTCAGCCTCCTTGAGTAACTAGGATTACAGGTGTGAGCCACCAGCACCCGGCTAACACAGAATTTTCAAATCCCACATTTAGCAATGGTCATGTTTAATCTTACTCTCTTTGGGAAATCTTCCCTTTCTGGGTGAACAAACACTTTTAAGCCCTAACTTCCTCCTCTGAACCCATTTTCAGGATGCCACTACAGAAAAAAGACAGGAGGGAGAAGACCCCAAATGCACCTTTCTTTATAGCCATGTCTCAATGTCCTGGGAAATGGGAAAAATCCAATGGCTTTTATCATACCCTTGAAGATCCTAGGGTGACCTCTCTATGGTCAAGTCTCAGAGGCCAGACGCTTAACCTCTCTGGACCTCCAATACCTATCCATAGAAGGCTGAAGGTACCTACCTCACTATCTAATCCAAAAGGGTCAGTAAGGCAACAGTGGCTGTGCAAACTGCCCAGACTATTCCAAAGCTAGGGCATGGGCTGCCAAAAAGGCCACCTGTGCCCCCCTTCCCTGCTGCCCCCAGGCCACGTGTCCAGCCTCTGACTTCCTGGCAAGGTTGAGTGGGCTCCAGCAAGGAGGGCCAACTGACCTTGTTGGCTGGTGTGCTAATCCCCTCCAGATGGGCTGGTGGCTTGCGATGAGGGCCTGCTGCCCATTGCCGACTATGATCCTGGTAACCATGTGTGGCTGCGTGTGACCCTGTGCAGGGAGTGACCACATCCAGCCTCTTCTTGCTTTGCTCCTCCCCACTGTTGACATTCCTAGCAGTGGTTCCATTCAGGACTCCTTGTCCCTAGTGACTTTTTTGGGGGTCTGTCTGTGTTGCTAGGCTAGGAGGATGCTCAGGCTTGGCAGACCCCAGAGCAGCAGGCCTTCCCACCAGCCAGCGCCATCCTGCTATACCTGCCAATCCCAAAGCAGGCCTCCTAGTCTCCTCCCCTACTTGGGGGAAGGAGGGGGGCGGGGAGAGGTTCCTGGAGCCTGTAAAGATGTATGTGCCAAGGACAGGACTTAAGAACATCTCCCAGCATCAAAGGGGCAGAAGGTCACACGAAGGTGCCAGCTTCCTCGCAGGGAGGACTGAGAGATTTGGGGAAATATTTCCAACACAACAGATGCCTCAAGCGAAAGAGAATTCTTTCCCAGAGCAGCATGAAGCGGGCAATGAG